TATCGGAACTCTTCGTTGGCTGCTGAAGATGGGGACGGAGCACTTATGGGAATGCCCCGAGTGCTGTGATATCGGTTCTTTCATCAAATCAATTAAATCAAATAAGCAGTTGACAAAATAAACAACTCACAGTAGTGATTAATGATGTTTATTATCAAACACTCCAGATATAAGATTCATCTCCTCCTCAGTAGTTCCACACAAAGAGCATTACTGATAACGCCTGTTTTGTGCTGATTGATTTAAAGTCTTACACCCCTTACTGAAACGTCAATTTCTTACAGCTCCTTCTTTACACTCCCATGTCTGTTAGTTTGGATAGGAACACATGGCATTGATGTTAGACATAGCTACTTCAGAGTTCACCTGAACTCTGAGTCAGTCAGATGACTTGCTCCTCGTTGCCTCGAACAGCCAGTAACAAGTTCTTTGCAGAACCTTGTTCCTATAACAACCCTCCGGAAAACTTCTCGATCACAAGCAAAATGTCCCGCGCCCGATACACCCATCTGGAGATCATCAGCCACATCCTGCACCTATCTTCTCTTTGGCCTTCTTCTTCCTCTCTTCCTAAGCATCTACTCAACCATTATTGTTCTCTCTAAACTTTCGTGACGTTTCAAGTGGCCAACATATTTCAATTTTCGGTGTTTTGTCGTCTTTAATAGTCAACCTTCTTCAATATTAAGTTCTTGAAATATGGGTGCATTTGTTCTTTTCTTTATCCGTGATATTCTTAGTACCCGTCTATAACATTTGTATTCAATGGCATTTATGCGCTGTTCAGCTTGTTTAGTAAGTGTCTAGGTTTCGCAATAGGAAAGATGCATGCTCTTAGAAACCTAATTTTTGAAGTCTGTCCACGTCCGGCTGCATATAAATCTGGAGCTGGCCGTGGTCTGTCCCACTCCATAATTTATTCAGTTGGTTTAGACTTTGAAGAGCAACTGATAATCGTCGTTTAATTTCTTTCACTGTGTCACCATTGTTGGTAATCAATGACCCAAGATATTCTAAATTTTCCCCCAACTTCAAGTCTTTCCTCATTAACATTTTATTTCTTTCTCCATTGTATTTTTGTTGCCTTGAACACCCACATTATTTACATTAGTCGATCAGCCTTTAGCATACAGGAGTGTGAGCGATGGGCAACAGAAAGCACAAGAGCTATAATCAACAGCTGACAACGTTTCTGACTGGTTTGCAAAGATGAGTACTGTCATTAACCAGCAAGGACTGCTGTTTATGGTGCTTTCCGAACAGTAGAGTGGTTAGAGCCGATGTCCTAAGCCTCACAATTAATCACAGAAACATGAACAGATTACCGGTGAATGTTACGTTCTCCCTTTCTGGGTCTGCTCCACCCATATACAAACCAGGTCACTTTTGATTGGTGCTTGCTCAGGCTCGTCAACTTTGCTCAAAGTTACAGGGGTGTCCCAGTGTACTGTTTGCTCGAAAAGCGTTCTGCGTTGTCTCCCATTTACGTTTTCATTCACAGAAAGAGAATGCGTGTGATGTAGGTTGCAGCACTCTCGTAGGGAAATTTGTGCTAGCGCCAGTTCTGCATGTTTTTGGACCATTAAAGGCGCTGACATCCTGGAGAATTTGAGAAATTGGGGTGGGGGGCCGAGGGAGGGTGCTTAGCCCCATTCAAATTTTCGAATGTATGAGGACTCAAGAGGCCCAGCCATGTTTAAGTGAATCATCATCATCATCACGTAGCAGGTCCTTTGCAGAACGTCGCTCTCATCACAGTCTGCCTGAAAGACATCGGTCTCTCGCCAGTTCTCCCACCTCATGCATTTTAACATTCAAGGAGTCACCTATATCTTGTGCCCATCTTCGTGTCGGTCGGCCCCTACCCCTCCTTCCTGGTACCATGCCTTCTGCTATAATTTTTTACAATCCGTCATGGCGCTTGATATGACCAAAATATTTCAGCTTTCGAGACAGGATGCTGTTTATTAGCCAATCTTCCTTGATGTTCAGATCTTTTGAGTGAATAATAATAAAAATACTAATATCAATTCAGTATAATGATACATTTAAAATGTATACTTCTTCTTATTTTTCTTCGCGTTCACCGGCAGGAAACTCATGCGGAAAGTTATGGTTGTTCGTCTACTTGTGGACTTTAGTCTTGTTCCAGAACCAGAATGTTGCGTGCACATCCGCTTTAAAAACATGGCTTATTTGTATGCAGACTGCTGGTTTCTTGCCTTTCAGGCAGATGTTCTCCGACTAAGAAAGGAAACCCTTAATTAGCCGGCTCTTAGAACATGCTTGGCAGGTAGGCAGTGGGCCTATTCTCGGGTTCACCATAATGGGACCCCAGAAGAAGTGTATACAATACATAGACAACTGCTTTAAAAAAGAGTACAGTTATGCAGAAACCAGTTCTAGGTCAAAGAAAGAAGATATGCCAGTCAACTCCAACTGGGTATGGTGAACGCGGAGACACTGAGGTGGCTGCTGTATCGGAGGGCGGAGTTCTGACCCACGTAGTAGGAGTCGATACGAACACAAGTAAAATGTAACTCAAAAATGAAAACTCCTATTTGTGGTTATGGGGCCGCTCAGTCCGTCAGTCCTCACACACATAGGACTGCAGGTGACACCTTTCTGATAAAGCCGTTACTTGTGGGGCTGTACCGAAAAGTGGTTTTCACTATTCGGCCGAATACGAATAGTGGGACCAACTATTCGGCCGAATACGAATAGTGTATCATCATCATCAGGTGCCTTGCCGACTGGTGTTGGCGATTTTTACTTCGCCACAATCTGCTATCTCCTGCAGCATGTATCAATTCGTGTGCTGACACACCACCATGACATGCAACAAGACTGTCAAGAATCTTCTCTCGTTGTCTTTTTCTATCTCTCCTTCCATAAATCTTTCCAGTGGTCACCACATGTGTCCGAGGTATTTTAAGCATTGTTCTGTAAAACCACACTCTCTGAGGCCTCAAAAAATTGTTTGGCCTGGCTACTGATTGTCCAGGACTCATAGCCACATGTTAAAACTGGATGTATGTAGCAAGCAAGACAAAGATATATTGCATAAGATGTTTTTTTTTTTTTAAATATAAAATGCAGTTTTGCCTGTCCTATTTTGTTTTTTATTTTAGTAATGCATCGTTCGTCTGATTTTATCCATGTGCCAAATTCGCATTTAAATCATCGTTCGTTCAGGCGTTCGTTCGATGTAATTTAAATGCACCTTCATATTCTCGTTCGCAATATCTTCAATTTGATTTGGGCAAAGACACCCCGAAAAAAAGAAAAAAATGCATGCTCTCTCTCTCTCTCTCTCTCTCTCTCACAGATACACTTTCAAGTTTCTTCATGCCTTCTTTAACACAACAGTAGCGTTGCCTAAATCTGTCGTAGCGGGGAAAACTGCGACACGGTTGCGAGGTAACAGCGCCTGCTGACTCCTCCGAGGCATTACAGCAGAGGTTCTAAAACTGGGTGCGTATGCCAGGGGTGCCGCAGCGAAAATCAAGAAAAGTAGGCAATAAATTGTGACATTATTAATGAGAGAGTTATTTCAGTCCATCGCAGTGTATGCAGAAATCACTATTCGTATTCGGCCCGACCGCCACTATTCGGCCGAATACCGAATAGCTATTAGGTCCACTATTCGGCCCCGAAGCGAATATTCGGTACAGCCCTACTTACTTGTGCCCTAATTATAACTTCTTTGGGGATTAAACCGGGTATGTGGGATCTGTCTTACTGGTCTACCATCAAGTTGATAGTAAACATTTAGATAGCAGCCCAGAGGGTATACATCGATCGATCATGGCCGGTTGCAAATTTCCTAGGGTTAGCCCTTCACAGAAAACAATTTTAATGGTATTGGACAAAAGCAGGGGGAGGGAGGGATGGGGGGCTCATATGCATGCACCACGAAGTTCCTGACGAGAAAGCCATTGTGTAGTCTGAAAGAGTACTTCATGATAAGGACGGCACATTTATTCAATGCCCTGTTGCGGTATTGTTTGTCACACAGGGCTTGCGGTCTATTCCTCTTTTCCGTTCTACCATGAGCAGTCATTTCAATATCAAGGATGTAATTCAGTCCAGCACCTTTGGCTTCTCTCCTCAATGTTCGCCTTAGAGTTGCTCTTAGACATCTCCTTGATGAATAGCCAAAGAAGAAGCGCATGGGCATTTACAGCACGCTCAGCGGGCAGAACAGTCAAAGAAGCCAACGGCGCCTTCTCCATGACAACCAGCAGCATGACGATGGAGGTGATGGCAGTGACGCAAGCGCTTGCCTGGCTTGAAACACAAAAATACACCCGCGTGTGTATACTCAGTGATTCAATGAGTATGATCCGGAGGGTTCAAGCAGGTTCAGTGCGAAGACAATGGCTTGAATCATTACAGAAGTCACTGTGCGTGGAGTCACCTTTATTTTTGTTTCGGGATACGCAGGCGTCGATGGAAATGAAAGAGCTGACAGGTTGGCTGGATCCGCTATCACTACCGACTGTCAGCCTATGGATCATGCTGATATTATCATTGCCCTCCGAGAAATGGGAAGGATAGAGGACTTTGGTGGCAGTGAACCCACATCACTCGCCAGAATGGCAGACTTGGGAATTAAGATCGGCACAGCAAAAAACGAGACGCACGCCAGACGACTTGTTAATCAACATAGAACTGGTACTATTAGCCATCGGACGTTGGGGTTCATACTGAGGGGAGGATCTGAGCACCTATGGACATGTCCGGAGTGCAATGAGGATAACCCAACTAACTAACTAACTAACTAACTAACTAACTAACTAACTAACAAACTAACTAACTAACTAACTAACTAACTAACTAACTAACTAACTAACTAACTAACTAACTAACTAACTAACTAACTAACTATCTCCTTGATGACCAAACTGGACTGAAATTTCTTGACGGTGAAAACAAAAGAGCTCTAAGGGGAACCACTCTGACAGTGATGATTACGAAAGTCATCACACACAACAACAATGGCTAGCAGGGCGATAGGACGGGCTACAGTTCGGGCGGTCACCTCCAAACGTCTGACGCCACAGAAAGCTCCCCTAACTTTGGTACGCGCCAAACTTTTACTTGACTTCATTTACAGTGATGCTCGTATAGTTTGAACTAAGCATATTCCGACACTGACACATTTTTTTTGTAGTTATTTTTTTTGTTTTACGTCTCATCCTGCTCTGGTCTGGGCGATGGGGAGCTCACACTCACAGTACTTGGTACTGTCGACCCTGTGGTAATTAATTCAAGTTAAATCTCCGAATAATTTTGTTAGGTGGTGTAATCCCATGTGGGTTCCGGGGCGGCATTGAGGGGAAAACAAGAATAGAGCTACTGCCGGCCCACATGCATGTCGTAGGAGTCGACTATTTGAGAGCTTGAGCTTCCTTCGAAGTCAGAGTACATCTGCCTGAGACTGAGAGGCAAGGAGTCAACAGTCTGCATGCAGGTGAGTTAGACTTGTGAAACGCAAGATTCAATTTCTGGAACAGTACTTAAGTCAAGAAGTTGATAAACAAACAGAACTTTCCACCAGAGTTTACAGCCGGGGAACGCAAAGAAAAAAAAAACAGAAGTAGCGTAAATTTTTTAGAATTAAAAGTTTAGAATCTGCAGGTGGATACATATGGTTATTTAGAAAAAATTTCCTTAATGGTACTTCATTTAAGTCTATAAAAGGCTAGTTCCATAGTTAGATACAACACTGTGTTATTTAGTTTGGCTTTTTTAAATAATTTTTTTTAAATTTTCCCTCTCATGGTTTTGAATCTAAAAGATTTAACATAAAGAGCCACATTCTGGATGTCAGACCAGCATGAACAAATTCCAGAATCCTTGTTTATTCATGTTACATACAGGAGCACATAATGGTGAACAATTTTCTTCAGCCCTTGCAAATGAGACCCAAGGGGATGTAATCAATTAGTGTTTACAGTGACCACAAGGGAGACAATCCGTTGTTTGAGAATGTTCGCATAATAGAAATGTTCATTCATATTTAAATTGTTTGGGTTAGGATAAGGTTAGGGTTAGCCCTAACTCTAACCCTAATTTCAAACGATATTAATATATTTGAAAAAAATTATTATTATGTGAACTTACACAAACAATTCATTACTTCCCCAGGGGTCGGCACTTACAATAATATTAACTTATAATTGATTACATCCCTTAGGGTATCCAAGACATCCCTTTGTGATGCAATTTTTCGTTATTTGAAGCTCTATTCTGGCTCTTGCCAGGGGCCGCAATATAGCCCGGCCATAAATATGGTCTAGCGGCTGAACGCGGTTTCTGGGACTTCTCCACGGGTGATCCTCATCCACATGGTGGCACTTTGTGTCATCGGGTGTTTATCGCTTTTGCAAGGTTTTCCCAATTTTCGAGTTTTCTTTCCAAAAAATTCTGAAAATAATATGGTGTCGGTTTGTGTGAAACTAGGACTAACTACTTGGTCATCCACACCTGTTACGTTTTAACACAGTCACACTGTTGAATGAGGACACACTGTTGAATGAGAACACACTGTTGAATGAGAACACACTGGTGTATGTGTTATTTTCTACGTTTCAGACAACTAACGCTGTTAAAAAAACTGAGAACACACTGTTGAATGAAACAGCTGATGGCGGACACTGTTGAATGGCACAGACATGGTATGTGTTAGTTGTGTTTGTTAAAGCTGTGGCTTCAGACATGGTTAGTTGTGTTTGTTAAATGTCTTCTGTTTTTATGCTTGTTGTGTTCTCTGTGTGGTTTTAATCATTTCTTCATTTCCTTGAGGCACACTTCTTTAGCTTCTGTGATACAGTGACTAGCAAACTGACTTACCAACCTGGTAGTTATTCTGTTTAGATCTTTCCTGGAGTGGATATTTCCCATGAGCACACAGATCTGAATGATGCGGAAGTGTGGATAGATCTCATCACAGTATAGACAGAATGGTGTAGATAGCAGTTCTCAACCTGTGGGTCGTGACTCTTTTTTGGGTCGAATAACCCTTTTACAGTGGTTGCCTTAGACCGTCAGTTCTCGTTCTCTGGTGTCCACGTGAGAGCTGTTTTGGCAGGTATATCAGGATTCATTCTCATAATGTGGCCAAGCCATTTCCATCTTCTCATTGTATCTGGCCTTAAACCATCGAAAAACACTTATTCACCAAAGTTATGAAGTAGCAATGAAAATAATTATGTGACTAGAGGTCACCACAACATGAGGAACTGTATTAAAGGGTCGTAGAATTGGTAAGATTGAGAACCGCTTGTGTAGATGCAAGTGACCAGGCGATATGTCCGATACTCTCCACTCGGAGACTGACATATAATAAAACTGCTACTGCTACCAGTGGCTTTGGAATTCTTTGCTGGCTACTGCAGATGGGGGCAGAGTGCTTATAGGCAATGTTCAAAGTGCTGTAATAATTGTTCTCACTCTCATCTCAACATAGATCTAGATTCAGCTGTCTCATAAATTAGAAATGATGTTGACATCACTCATAAAGTGCCAGTTCTTGTTCACATTCACTGACTGTAGACTTCAGCAGAAAGTTCTGGTTGTTTGTCTAAATCTGGACTTTGGTCTTGTCCCAACTCTGAGCTTTGTATGCACAGCTCTTTTACAGACCTGGCTTATTTTTGTGCAGACTGTTGAGTCATCGCCTCTCAGACAACACCAGCAAGCATATCGTAAGAGTTGACTAATTGGGAGCTTCATTGAAAGTGCATCTGCTTGAGAGGCGAGGAACCAATAGACTGCATACACATGAGTCAGATTTATAAAATAGATGTACAATCAGCGATATAGCACTCAGTCTCTGGAACAGGACTAGAGTCCAGAAGTGGACGAACAGTCAGAACATTCCGCCGGAGTTTATAACTGGTGAACGCGAAGAAGACAAGAAAAAGAAGAAGACTGATTCTGTCATGGAGAAACGTTGTCTTGTTACATTGAGATGATGTTAGTTGATATTTTTATTGTTGATGTATTTTCAGCATGGAGTGTTGATTGGGGTGAAGACACGAGGATGTAATGGCCTGACCTACACACTAGACTACGCCGATAAGAAAGGCAAATTTGATGAGGAAGTAGTTCAAGATGGTCAGTTTCTGATTACTTTGTTACATTTTTATTAGTTTTGATACTCAATTTTCCATTCCACTCAGAAAACAGAGAGCGGGAAACAACTACAGAACTCAAAACTGTTTAAATCACCACTATTACTATATCGTGAGAGCTCATAGACTGCAGTAATTGGAGCATTTAAAGAGAATGACAGATAACAGAAGAAAGAAAAAAAGCACAGACGAAAGTGTTGAAAATGAGTAGGTCACAGGGCAACCAACCGTAAAGGAGAGATAATATACAGACAGACCTACAAATACTAGGAGTCGCCAACTGGAAAGAGAAAGCCAATCACAGAGATGAATGGAGGCAGTTGATATCTGCAGCAATGACCAGATGTCTTTAGTATCTTTAGTCTTTGTTGTGTGCAATATTTGGGTATATGAAAGGGAAGTTCATTATTGAACGTAAACACTTGGTGCGGTGCAGGACACATTGAACGCAATGTGAAGAGAGAGAAAAACGGTTGGCTTTAAGTCCCCGGAGAGGAAGGATACGATGATGTAGGTTCTAGTCTGGGTTTTGCCAGACTAGTCCTGCACACCCGCATGTTACGCTGGCATTAGGCATACAGGCTATCGGCGAGAGATGCTGCAGAGGCCGGGCCAGCATGACAGAAGCTCATGTTGTGAGATGGGAGATCTCAAGAACGTGTCAGGCCGCAGATGGAAGGTCTGGATAATCTTCACAAGGTATTGTGCATCGGCCTGTATGATTTTTCTAGTGACAGTGTACCCAAGGGATGGGTGTCATAGAGATAGACACGTACTCACGAGCAGTGGGTTTGCACGAGCAGGTAATGTTTGCTCGTTGTTAACCACGGAACAGGGTGGCAGTAGAAGTAGCCCAGATCGTCCGGAGTGTGTGTTGCCTTGCCAGTAGGAATGACTGTTTTATAGAAATTCATGTAGATTCATTGTCCAAGCCGTTGAAATACCTTAAATCTGCTTGGAAGTAGCAACATTTGTATTTCGGCGTCTTCCATGTGCTCTTTTGTCAGAAGTATCGTCAATGGGAGCCGAAGCCTGACACGCGTCAGTCTTCAATAGATGTCTGCAGTCAGAGTGAGGATATTGTTTAGCGAGGAACGGCTGTCCAAGTGGTTAAGAATGAAGGGTTCTTGTGTGTGTATGTGTGCATACCTATCGTGTGCTTGTAGTATATAAAGCATCTTTTTTATTCAAACATATAGGTATATGTGACTTATTGTCTTATAGAATTACATATTGTTTCTTGCTCAGGTGTGAAGGTTTTTATTGATGCTAAAGCCCAGCTGACCTTGCTTGGAACAGAAATGGATTACCATGAAGACAAACTGACGTCTGAGTTCATCTTCAATAACCCAAACATCAAAGGCACATGTGGATGTGGTGAAAGCTTCAATGTATAACTGTGATCCGTGATTATTCTAGATAGCATCATGTTGTATATATTTTTTTACTGTCAGTTTATTGCCAATATTTTCTGCATAATAACCCAGTATTGCACAAGTCTGAAAACAGACAGATGAACTGGGTTATGTTTGCCATACTTGTAGTGCAGTGCGTCCAATGTTGACATGCATTGGTCTGTTAGCCTTTAGCTGTTTCAAATCTACAAGGCAGCAAGGCTATCTCCCTTTTTGCCTGGTTTCTGTTCATTGACCTGTGGAAAAACCTACCAGTAGTTTAGTTATTGTTGGCCTATAGCCAGTCTGCTGTATGCAGTAGGTCTATTCTTTATTGTTGTTTTCCCATAATGGAGGCCCAGAAACCACACAGGGAAATTAGATAAGTTAAAATCCCCATGTGGGTTCCGAGGCCCTTTTATAGGGAAAACAAGAATAGACCCGCTGCCTACCCAAAAGCATGTTGTAAGAATCGACTAATTGGGAGCTTTCTATGAAGTCGGAGTGCATCTGCCTGAGAGGCAATGAACCAGCTGTCTGCATTTAAAAGAGTCAGATCTGTAAAACGTATACACACGCAACACTCGGGTTCTGGAACAGGACTGCAGTCCAGAAGTGGACGAACAACCAGAACTTTCCGCTGAAGTTTGCAGCTGGTGAATGAGAAGAAGAAGAAGATAAGTTTAAAATTTTTTTTTATTAATAAGAAAGATAATCTCCTTCATGCGTTTAAATTTGTCAATATGATATGTTATTGGCATTGACTCATCTTGTAGTCTAAATTATACATTTGAATATACATATTGGTATATGATATGTCTTATTTTGTAAATAGGTAGGAATTAAAAACTAATGCTGGTCAGAACTTAACTTTATGAATGCCCAGTCCCTCGTGTGGGTTCCGGAGCCCCATTGTGGGGTAAACACGAATAGACCCACTGCCTCCCCAAAAGCATGTCGTAAGAGTCAACTAATTGGGGAGCTTCCTTTGAAGTCGGAGTGCATCTGCCGGAGAGACGAGGAACCAACAGTCTGTATTCAAGAGAATGAGATCTGTAAAACTGATGCACACGCAACACTCAGGTTCTCAAGCAAGACTGCAGTTCAGTAGTGGACGAGCAACCAGAACCTGCCGCCAGAGTTTACAGCTGGTGAACGCGAAGAAGAAGAAGAAGAATGCCCAGTGTTCTTGCTAATGTTTGTGTTGGCATTGTGTTTCCTGAATGTATGTTTAGTTTGCTCTTTGCTGGATATATGCAGTTTTAGATTGAAACAGTGATGTGGTAGTTAGTCAAGTAAAAGACCGTTTTCCATGCTTTCAGCTGTATTGGGCATGTAGGGCTAGACCTATATATTTTATAAATCAATTGACACTAAGTGGGTGATGTGGTGAGCATCACATTGAACGCCTTTACTTCCTGGATTTCACTGGGTAACCAAGCAAGGCTGGGTCCACCTGGGAGCCAAGGTCATTTTGTTTAAAAGGTCTGGTACGGCGAGGACTCGAACCCATGACCTTTCGATCTGCATGGGAGCTGAGGCAGCCTTATTGTCCTAGATAATGATGAAATAGCTGGTGAGTGCGATATTGTTACGGGCCATTACCATCAGGAGGCCTTACCAAAGGGCCTGGACATCATGCTTCTCATGATCTCCAGTAGATCTTATCTTCTTTATTCGCCTTTAAAGGGTGGTTGGCACAGTTTGTTGTGGTTTACAGCTAGACTGTGATATTTGCTCAACACATCCGGTTGCACCAAGGGACAGTAGGATTGTTCTTTTTCTCTCTCTCTCTCCAAAATTGGGCTACAGAACCCACATGAATGCATCAATCCATATTTTTTTTTAGGAAGAATTGTCAGAAATCTTCTCTCTGCCTCTCTCTCACACTTTCTCTGCCTTTCATTTTTCTCCCTTTAATCTTGCCAAGTTTCAGTTTTTAAAAATCCCTGCCTTTCCTGGTATTCAATCACCTGGCCACTGTGGGACCACGTGGTTCTGGATGATTACTTTGAGTCATATGGGTCTGTTATGGTAATTATAGAACTGTTGTTAAGAGTAAAAGAAACAGGGAATAAATTAACACAGAGCATGGGGAGACACAGATGGAACGACAGCATCAAGTTAAAGAACATGAAGATCAGCTTCTACAGCACATTAGAAAAAACACACAGATGATCCTTACATCTCTCAGTCAACTCTTCAGTGGGGTGACTGGAAGAAGAAGAACAAGTAGAAATATATTTTATTAACAGGTGCTAAGTTTTTTATTATTTTTTAAGAGTGATATTCTTTGTTTGAGGAATCGTTTCTATGTTACTGTATATGAGGGTTTTTCAGCTAGGTTTACTCGGGGCCAGAATGCTGAAAATGGAGTTTGTCCGCAATCAGAGGCCCAAGCCTAAGTGTAGAAAGATAATTAATACAATACAGTATGCAATGATCCATGGGCTACGAGCTAGGCTTCTGCGGGCCAGATTTGGTCTGCAGGCCACCAGTTTAATAACCCTGCTGTGTATCAAGTGGTGATTGTTATTGTTATCTTTTATCATCATTTATCATTCAAGGTTCATTATTCCTGCATGTGATGTTAGTGCACTGACAAAGTGAGTGAAAGTTTGATGCTTGCAAGATTGTATGTATGTCCTCACTCACATTAATATTATGGGATCTTTAGTCTTAACTGTTTTTTAATGTCCTCTCACGCATTGGGGAGGATACCAGCCTTATCCTGGGAAGAGGAAATGCAATCTGAAAACTTTATGTTATGGCAGGGCAGACCAGGTTCTTAGCCTTGGCTGGCAGCTGGTCTGGGAGAGAAGCTCCGACAGATGGACAGATAGAGCACAGCTCTTCTGATCCGGCAGCTTCTGCAGCCTACTTCATACTGGTGTTACCTTTCCTTTAGAGTAAACAAGAGAGAGATCATGATCAGTCATGGTCACTGTAGCAGCCTCGTAATGTCTTTCTCATCTCTGGTTGTGTTTGGCATCTCAGGTCTCTTATGTTGAGTAGTACCATTGTTACAGAGGTAACTCTGGTACTGAGGATACAGTGGCAACTTTGAACAAGGCTTAAATAAATGTTTCAGTGTTTAATTCTCAGTGTATGCTTTGCAATATCCAACATCCTGAGTGGCCATGGTGTGACTTAAGTGTGTTTCAGAAAATTCATCATGAGTGACCATATATGACCTGAATTTATACTGTGGTAGTACCCTCAGTTCAGTTATATAGAGATTACTGTGTCGGGACCTCGGATGGATCTTGTGTGGCTATCCAAGGCAGTGAATAAGCTGATTTGTTGGCCAACATTTGAATGGACAAAAGACATAATACTCATCGCAAATCATGGGTTGTTTCAGGCAAATACAGAGGTTGATGAATCAGCCCAGCGTAGACTTTTATTATTTATTATTACATATTGCAGTAACAGGCATGAACGCAAGCAAGAAACAGCATAGATGGATTCATAATTTATAATCACATTGCCCCGAAAACAGTCGGCATCCCTATACTTTAACTGCTGAGAGGAGGGACAGAGCATAAATATGTGTGATCTGAGTACAGTGATACTGAGTCTGTTGAATGTATAAATCCATCAAATATCTTCAAATTATGCTTTAGCATTAGTATAAATTTTCACATTATCAGTAAACATTACAGTTGGGCATTAGCACAAAATAACATCATTATATTGACAGCTGTTAGGTATTCTGTCTCTGTTTCCTGTATTTACCGATTTTGGAAGCTGGATAAAACAGGAAATAACATCATTATTTTGATAGCCATCAGATGTTCTCTTTACGGCCTGTTCTTTCACTTTTTAGGGCAGGAAGGTCATGAGCCTGAGAATCTAGCACCGCCTTGCTAGTGCAGACGCCACAGACTGCAGGTTAGAATTTTATTTTTGCTGCACAAAGGAAAAAATCTATCACCTGAATGACAGCCCATCATTCTAAACCCCTCAGCCAGCCATTGCCTAAAAATGTACATCGTAAACGTTCAAAGATTTGGTTTGTCAGTATTACCTTGAAAATGAGCTGTCTTGTAGCTTGTTAATTAGTTAACAGAAAACAATTTTTTTCAAATAAGCTAGTAAATTATTGCCTGTATAATTGAATATAAACGTGTGTATGTGACATCTTATTTTGTTAATATGAATTGCAATTGACTCTGTTAAAAGGAACTAGATAAAAAGAAGATTGGATGGTTTTAATAAAAAAAGTGGTGTCTGATTTCATGTTGTTGTTATCTGTTTAGTTTTAGCAAGGCCTCTGTGCTCTGTTAAAACACTGAGTGGTGATACGTACAAGTGGTATGAGGTATTGTGTTGCTGCAAAGTCCTCATTTTCTTGCTTGCTTCTAATAGTGCAGTCCGTGGTGAGTGAGAGGCTTAGTATACGGAAGTGAAGTTAAACAGTCATGAGAAGGACATGATGATACCTTGGCTGAGCCCTGTACCAGAGCACCATGTATTGGCTCATCATTCGTGAAAACCTCCTAAATGACGGAGAAAGCTCATGTTCTGCCGCTGCCCTCCCTGAAAGGCTGACTAGCAATATATGGCTGCTCTGGACCGGCCTTCCCCTTGTGGATTATGGGGAGGGGGAAACAATAAACCAACTGCTACCTGATAAGCATATCATAACAGCCAACTCATTTGGGGTGTTTCCTTCAAAGTCTAGGTGCCAGAGCGGAAAGGAACCAACAGTCTGCATAGAAATAAGCCAGGTCTGTAAAACGAAAGTGCATGCAAAACTTGTTCTAGAACAAAACCGAAAGTGGACGAACTACCAGAACTTTTTACCAGAGTTCACAGCCAGTGAACGCTAAGAAGAAGAAGAACTGTTGCAGCACTTACCGCGAAGATAAATACGGCAAAAGGTATGGCTGCTTATTTTTGTCTTGACTGATGGATAGGGGGGGGGGGGCATAGAGCTGCAAGAAATGAACTAAGGGAACAAGACCTTTCATTAATCAACACAGGTCAGGCGCCATTAG